AAAAAAAAAAAAAAATGCCCCATAGTTTTTTTTTTTTTTTCTTGGTCTCTTTGAGATAGGATTTCCCTACAGCCCCAGCTGACCTGGAACTCTCTATGCAGAACAGGCTAACCTCTATCTCACAAGATCTGCCTGTCTCTGCCTCCCGACTTCTGGGGGACTACAGGGGTATGCCCTAGCAAACACATGATGCTTTGCTGAGTAGAATACTGAAGAGTCAGATGGAAGCCCACTGCTGTAGACTGCATACACCGAATGTGAAGGGGATCATAGATCTGCTCACCTTGGTCATTCATGCCCTTCCTTGGGGACAAAGTTGACTGAAAATAGAGAGGGACACCAGTGGAGAAGAGATACAGGAGGAAAGGTCCTGCTCTCCAGGACCCTCAGGTGAAGCCCCAGTCCCACTGAGGAAAATCCGTGAAGCCAGGTATTTGTCAAAGGTAGCCAGACTTGAAACAAAAAGCACAAATTGGCCAACAGCGTGGTCATGTTCAAATACTAGGTCTATAAGTTATAACCATTCCCACCCCAAGGTGCCCAGATGGAATTCTAAATGGCACAGAAAAGGCACCTCCATCCCTTCTGTGGGCTTGAACAAGATGTGCTGTTGAAAACAAGCCAGGACCACAAACTCTTGAGGGAAAACAACACATGGTTTTTTTTTAAAAAAAGATAATTTGGCATCTATTCATAGAGAATAGGATTAGATTTAATTAAAGGAGGGAACCCCCAACTCCATCTGGTTCACTCCTTGCCAGCGCTGAAGAGGGATATTAGAAGGAAAGCTAGGGATTATTTCTTGGCATGCATGGCATTTCTCCTCAGGGATCAAATCTAAAATTTAGACTGGCCTTTGTTTGGGAAATTATAAGCTGAACAAAGCTGGCTTTCTGATTGTTTATCTTCTTTTGAGTCACCTCTGTAAATGGAGGGATCATCTCTCTGTTGCTTCTTGGAAATACACTATTGTTCTGTTCTGATTTTTTTTTTTCCAGTGACAATGGATCCTAAAACTGAGCAGTGCTGATGTTTTCCAAGAGAGCATCCCCTGAGGGCACCTGCTGGGCCTGGCAAGCAAGAATGAAGAAGAGACAAGTTTAATTAATTTCAAATCAGTGTAGACACAAGAACCTTTGCTGTTTCTTCCACTGCCTACTCTTCAAATGATGGCATCACTTGGAAGAATTAGGGACTGAGCAGCACTCAGAGAGGCCTGGCTGCCAGCCAGCCCACTCTGAGGGTGGAGAAGGAGCCATGGGAGGCGTCGGCTTCTCATCAGTGTGTGGCCCCTGCTCACAGCCTCCGTTGTCCTTGGCCACCTTAACTCCCTGTTGCTTTTCTGCTTCATCCTTCACAGTGTTAAATCAAGAAGTTGTTTTTATCTGTGGTCTTCTTTTGGGTCACCTTACTACCTAACCAGTTTTGGATAATTTCCTGTCATTATTCAAGTCCTCTGATGGTCAAGTCCACTTGGAGGGACTTTCCTCAGTGACACTTATAGAAAAGACACCAAACAAAACAGGTGTTTCAGTGTCTACACCATCCCTGGGAGGTTGTCAAGCTTTTTTCTGACCTGCCAAAAAGCTTCAGCAAGAGATTCCACTGTCCTTGTGAGATAGCAATCGGGTATTTGGGAGTGTTTGACTTAGTCACCCCTGGAAACTTCTTGGAAGAACTAGGAATCTTCAAAGAAAGAACCAACCTTTTCCTTCTCAGCTTAAATCACTTCAACAAGTAGCATCTTCTTGAAGCTCTTATTCTGATCTTGTCTCAACATATATCTCTGGACTATGCTACATAGGCTTGGAATGTATGCAGGTAGGGGTCATCTGTTACTCTTCTGTGTCACAGCAATCTTTAAGGTTGTTTGAATCAACTGAATAGGGACAGGAAATATCTGTACCCATGGCACTTTGCATTCTTTCCTGCCAGGCTGGGAAGAGCCTGGTGTCCTCAACACAGCATTCAGGAGGTTGCTCTCAGAACATCAGAGATGATATGCTACATGATATTGGTTGACATCCACATGCTAAAAGCAATGAAGCAAAATGTAGAAGAGCACGCTAACCTCTCCTCTCACATAAATCAGCCTCCATTTAATCCTTCATTTTCTAATTCTGACCTTTAAAAAGCAATCTAGAAAATTGAGTCCTCAGCTCTCCTGGGATGCTTGATATTTTATTCCAGGAAAGAAACAAAGAATGACAATTTTATTTTGCTAACCACATATAAACTGAGGGGAGATAAGGTTAACCAAACTTTTGCTGCTGAATTTTGGGTCTGTGTTTGATAGGCTGCCGTCATGCAAGCCTAAATTCCATTTCTGCCTGTTCAGGGCTCCTTACCAAGTCCTTGCCTTCTGAGATATGCAGATAATTTTATAGGCAGAGTTCCAGGCCAGGGTGGTCTCTCTATTCAGTAAAGGCTACAATTGTCTTGTTGCATTGAATCCCTGCTCTTCTGTTGTCCTGGGACTGTGCAGAGCTTCAACAAGACAGTGTTCCTGGTATATATCCTCAGCAGATGTGTCTGTCGTGTTCTCATTAGCACATCCTAACAGGACTCTTTGAGTTAGTGCTATTGTGAATAGTCACAATCAATGTATAATTTGCACTGATTCTCAGATATTTATGCCACAATTGCTGCTTTCTGAATGATCATTGCTTGTCTGTTCTGCTCAGGTCTGTTACTTTAAATTTGTTTCTCTTTCTCAGAAGTCTCAGTTCTTTCTTTCTGTAGATGTCTAAGACCCTTGCTGAGCACCCAGGCCATTAACCTTGATCCCACCTTATCCAATAGTGAACTTTAGAAGTTCTCAGAAGTTTAAGGGGTCTTGGACTCTCACTTCGATAAAGCAGTATTTCATGATGTGATAATATTCTCATTCAATATGCTAAATACTCAGATTCCTGAAGAAATGTACCAGCATTTCATTGAGCTTATGTCTGAGAACTTTACAGACGTCTATAATTGCACAGTGTACAGTCACTTTTTACAAAGCTAGTTTGTTCTGGCAAGACATGTGAAGTTAATATGGGTCAAACAATCAAATACTAATCCTGGGATCCTGAATCTTTTTATTACTATGCAACCAATGTGTAGAATATGTGCATGACAATTCCAAGAATTGTTCTTAAACCAAAAAAGGAGGCTTTACATTATATTAGTAAAAAACAACAACCAAAAATCCTCATTAATTTATCCTAATCGAATAGCTCATGAGAAGAAAATCTGACTTAAAATCATTTGAAGAAAGATTGGGGATTTAGTTAGTGGCCAGAGTATTTGTCTAGCATGCACAAAGCCCTGGGCTCAATCCCCAGTACAATACAAACCAGACATGGTAGCAAGAGAATCCAAAGTTCAAGGTTATCCTCAGCTACATAGTGAGTTTGAGTTCAGCCTAGACTACATAAGACTGTGACTTTAAAAAAGTTAAAGATGGTTCAGGGGTTAGAAGCACTGATTCCTCTTGCAAAGGGCCCGGGCTCAATTCCTAGAACCCACATGGTGGCTAACAACCATCTATAACTCCAGTTCCAGGGGATCCGATGTCCTCTTCTGACCTCTGCTGGTGTTACACAACATGGGTGCACTTCTACACATGGAGGCAATACACTCATACACATAAAATAATAAATAAAAATAAAAAGTTAAAGATACATGTTTGGGTGTTTGTTTTTTTTTGTTTTTTTTTTGTCATTTTAAGCAAACTAGGAACTGGGTTAACAACAACATTGCCTAGCCAAATTCCTTGGGAAACTTGTTTCAATAAACACATTAAAATATCCATTTGTGACTCTTTTTAAAAATACTGTTATTGGATTTGCTCTTTGACAGTTTTCATGTATATAAACTACATTCTGATTACTGTAATCTCCAACCCTCTCTAGTCTCCTTCCCACCCATCTCCCTCCCTCTACAAGTACTTTTTCCATTTTTGAATCATTTTGTTTTGTTATGTTTTGTTTTGAGACCTACTGAGTTTAACTAGGATTGTCTGTGTGACAAGAGTTTGGAACTATCCATTAGAGTCTGGTGGGCTTTTTAGTAGGGTACACTAATGAAGACAATGACTGCCCCAGAATCCATCAGTAGCCAATAGTTCACCAGAGAGAGTATATTGGTTTGTGTCTCTGATGCTGTGAGAAAACTCAGACTAAAACTAATTTCAGGAGGAAAGGGTTTATTTGGCTTACATTTCCACATTCTGATCATCAAGGAAGTTAGGGCAGGAACCTGGAACAGGAACTGATGCAGAGATAGAGGAAATCTGCTTGCTGGCTTGCTCCCTTTCTTATACAGCTCAGGGCCCCCTGCCTAGGGATGGTACCGCCCACAGTGGGCTGGGTCCTTCTACATCAATTAGCAATCAAGACATGCCCCACAGATATGCCCACAGGCCAACCCCCAACAGAGGCAATTCTTCAATTGACTGGTCCCTCTTCCCAGGTGACTCTAGTTTATGTGAGTTGACAATAAAAACTAACAAGTATAGCATGCAAGCATGAGGACCTGAGTTTGATCCCTGGAACCTGTGTAAAAACTTTAGGCATGATGGTATGCACTTGTTAGCTCCTGTCTGATACATGATTGATTGCTGACAAGCCCTGTCTTATGTAGACTTACTGCAGGCAGCCACAGCTGCTGTGAGGTCATGACTGCATTTGCTGTGCCATGCCCATAAGGCAGCATTTCACAGCCCTCATCTTCCAGCTTGTACAGTCTTTCTGGCCCCTCTTCCTCAATGATCCTTGAGCTTTAGAGGGGATGGTGTGTTTAACCTGGAGCATCTGTAGAAACAAATGATACTTCCAGTCTTAATCAGAGAAGCTTCTCTCTGCAGTAGGGGTAGACAACTGTTCAAGGTGCTGAGAACAAGTGATTGTTGAGTGCTCAGCCCTAAACAGGCCACTTCTTAATGTCCTAGCTACTCTCTCCAGGAAGGGCATCAGTTTCCAAATGCAGACACACAGCCTGGATCAACCTTGGTATCTACAGGGAAGCACATACTTTCTCTGACTTCCATTGCTCTAGCAATGGAAATTATATCAACATAAATAGATGCCTTAAAAATTCTTCAGTGTAATCTTATATTTTGGTTGTATCAACAATCAATTTACACCATCTTTGGAAAAAGACCTTATGTTGAATAAACAAAATGTGAAAGTCTCATTCTCTGTCACAATTAGTGAAAATTCTGAGCCTCAGGTACAGTGATAAGACATGTTTCCCACTGGGAAGACAATGCTGAAATCATTGTAGGGAAAACATGGAAATTTTATACTGAATTCAATTAGCACATGTGACTTTTTCACATTCCAAAGATGCTCCAACAAGCAGTCTGGAGCAACTTCCCTTATAAACACATTTAACATCACAAGGGCCAAAAGAATTCCTGTAGACTAGTGAGGACTGATATTTGTCTAATTTGTTAGTAATTAGACAATTCAAATAATCAATTTCTCAGATCGTTTTTTTTTTTTCAAGTCTCTCTTTGGCATTGCTTTGGGACAGTCCTGTCTTTGTATCAAAATTTGATTTTCCCTCTTCTTGGGGGTTGTTACTTGAAGATGCCTGGTGGTTTTTGTTGCTCTTGTTTGTTCCATTACCTTTTCTAAATAAAATGTCATGCCTACGAGGGAGTAATTAATATAATTATATAAAAGTATGTTCCAAACTTTTTGAAATATTTAAAGAAGTTAAATTCCTAAATCAAGGTGCTAAGATAACAGGAAGACTTTAATACTGGTCTTTTGAAAGATTAGAGATTCAATGTCAAACTGTTTCATACAACCAAAGGCAGATAGGTTTTTCTGTTTGTTTCTTTTAAAAAAATATATTTTGTTTGTTATTTTTATTGTATGTGTATGAGTGTATTGCCTGCATGTATGTAAGTGCACCTGTGTCATGCAATGTCTGAGGTAAGAAGAGGGCATCAGATCCACCAGAACTGGAGTTACAGATGTGTTGTTAGCCTCCATGTGTCAGAGACCTGAACCCGGGTCCTCTGCAAGAATAGCCAGTGCTCTTAACCACTGAGCCATCTCTCCAGCCCCCATTCTGTTTGTTTCTTTACAACTGAACTTGAATTGGTGAGAAAGCTTCAGCCATCACACTTTTCAGTCCAAATCATATTATTGTCAGTGGCCTTTGGCACTTTGTAATAGGTGTTTGAACTTTTACAAAAAGTTCATTCTTCAGTTTTCAGTTTTTGGTCTACATGGAGGACTTGGTGGATGATATGGAGTTACTGAGTTACCACAAAGAGTAAGCATCTTTTTTGGGGGGGGTCTTTTTGAGACAGGGTCTCCCTGTAGCCCCAGCTGGCCTGGTACTCACTATGTACGCCAGGCTGGCCTTGACTCACAGAGATCCACCTGCCTCTGCCTCCCCAGTGCTGGGATTGAAGGCGTGTGCCACAATGCCCGGCTGGAGTAAGTGTCTTTTTCAATATCAGGGTCATTTGAGAATAACCAGTGTGTTACTCTTAGATGAAATCCCTGAAATTATAATATTTAAAGGAGATCAGTTAGCTCAGATGTAGTATTTATTGTCTAGCTTCTGTCCTAGCAATATATACATTTTAGGTTGTAAGCCTAAAATCTGTCCAGGGCTAGAGAGATAGCTCAGCAGGTAAAGCGCTTGCCACCAATCCTGACAACCTGAGTTCAATTCCTGGGACCCACATGGTGGAAGGAGAGAACGTTCCCATACACTCATACACATAAAATAAAATATTTAAAAAAAAAATTAGTCAGCTATGTGGTATATCAACCAGAAGATGACTGGATCCAACAGCAGATAGCTCCACAGTCAGAGAAATGACCAAGTCAGAATCATAATCCTGACAGAAAGGTATTGTGCTAGAATTCAAGTTCAGCTTATAATACTAGAGACAAAAACAGCTGTGTTCAGTAACCTGCTTCTCGCACAGGAAAGGTGAGTTAGCAAGTGAGCTCCACCATTGTCTAGAACCTAGGTCCTTCTACTAACCATCCCACTTTCACCTGTGCAAGACTTCCATCCTCTGGGTTGCCACATGCTCCGTAAGGGTGACTAGTTAGCTCCAGTGTGATATTCACAAGGAGACAAAGGGAAGCGGCCCAAGGGTGAGCCTCCCTAGCAGGTCAGCAGCTGGTAGCAAGCCTTCCTTCCAGCCCAGTGAAGCAACTCCACCCACATCCAACTGTTCCACCTGTCTGCTAGGTGGGGCACACAGGCCTCTGTGTTGTTGGATTATGTCTAACAGTAGGGGGTTCTGTTTCACAAAGCAGGTGTCTGAGGAGATAACATTCCTGGCTGTGAGGTGCTAAGCGCTCAACATTTATCATCTCATTTTAGCCGCAGTATTGTAAAGTACTTTAAAGAGTTTGTAAACTTGCTCCATGTTTCCCCAGCTTTGAAACACCTGCTTTTAACCACTATATTGTACTGCCTTCCCAATAGTTAGCAATAGGAAAATGTTTGTCAGTCTAGTCAAGGAGGCCTGGAGGATACCGCCTGAAATAAGTACCAGAGACTGTAGAATGGCAGTGAAAGGAGAATCAATCTCAGGCCCAGAAGTGGTAAATCATGCTGTCAAAACAGCCAGGGCTTGGAATAGTAGTGATTAAGCTCAAAACCTAGTACCTAGGGGCTGAGGAGATGATTCAGTGGGTAAGAGTGCTTGTTGTTTAAGCATAAGGACCTGAGTTCAGATCCCAGCAACCACATAAAAAGCCAGGCATGGTCATGTGTAACTGTAACCCAGCACTGTGGGAGGTAGAGGTAGGAGGATTTCTTGCTGGCTACCAGCTTAGCTCCAGATTCAGTGAGAGATCCTGTTTCAAGGGAATAAGGCAGAGTGATAGAGCAGGACACCTGCAGTCCTCCTTTAGTCCAAACATCTGTACATATGTCCACCACACACACACACACACACACACACACACAGAGAGAGAGAGAGGGAGAGAGAGAGAGAGAGAAGAGAGACATTGGGTGCAATGGGGAGGCATGCCAAGATGTGCTCAGGAACAGGTGTTCAGTGTAAGAATTTGCAAGAATTTGAGTAGCATTGAAATAGCAGCTCTTTCACAGCCATAGTTATTTTGGCCTTTAGAATTCCCAAGGCTGGCGTGTGCAGGACTTGTGGAGAACATGAAAAGCATAAGTTCAGCCCAGGTTTGGGTGGCCTACCTCTGGATGCACCTAGCATTCATAACCCCCAAGACAGAAAACACAATCGGCTTGAAGGTTCAGCCATCTGTTGCTGCCTAACCAACCACCTCAAATCCTAGTAGCTTAAAGCAATAGTTATTTCTTTTGCTCATAGCTTTGCACTTGGATGGAGTTCAGTGAAGATGGCACCTCCTCGCTCACATAGCATCAGCTGGGCAGCTCATTGGGGCTTCAGGCTGCAGGCTCAGATGGCTTGTTTGTGCTGACTGTTAGATAAGAGCCTGGCCAGGTCTGTGGGCCAGAGATCTTGGCTCTTACCACCTGAGGTTCTCTGTGTACTTTCGGATATCTTCAGATTATAGTTGTTGCATTCTAGGAGCAAGGTAGAAGTGTGTGATATTTTAACAACTTAGTCTCAGAAGTTCCATGATGTTGCCTCTGCTAAACTGTATTGA